GCGCAGTCAGGGTTTGAGTTTGAAAATGCACTTCAGGCAAAAAGGCCTGAACATGTCGAATGTACACAAGCTAGGTTTCAGGTCCCGTAGGGTCACGTGGGGGGATGTTATGTTCGGGCCAATGCCTGAAGTGCATTTTCAAACTGTTTTCGGGACTGCCCCACAGTTAACCGTTAACCACAGCCTACCCGCGCACGCACTTGACGTTGGAAGTCGGCCATCAGCATCCTCTGGTGTGACGGAGTCCACCAGAGGCCAGGTCCCACTATAGCAGCGTCGAGTTTCCTCGACGCCTGAATCTGGACGTCTTCGTGGAGATGTGCGGGTTGAGAAAACTCAACGCGATTTCTACACATATCCGCCTGAATCTGGACGTCAGGACGTTCTTTGTCTCACCAGTGTTTTTTTTTTTTTTTTTTTTTTTTTTTCCCACTCGCATTAGATCAGGCTTCAAGAAAACCATCCATTCTTCAACAGATTAACAGAAAATTTTGGACCATTTCTCGATTTATGCGTGACGCCTGAATTTGGACGTGTTTGTGGATAGGTGCAGGAAATCGAGATTGCACTGCTTTTCTGCATCTCTGCATAAAACACGTCCAGATTCAGCATCTTGATCCATCCCCCTTTGCTAGTTGCACCTCGCCCCCAAAAACTTCTTCACCTACTACTAGCTGCATCACATGATCAGTTCTAACGACCGACCGTGAAGAAGTGAAATCATTACTCGCGATCACCTATTGTCTGGATAAGCATGAGCGGCAATGAAATTTGAATTTCGAGGGGGGGGAAAAAAAAAAAAAAAAAAAGATAAGCATGAGCGGGTGTTAAGTGTTTTAACCCCACCAAAAAAAAAGACAAGCATAAGTGGGTGTTAGTGTTTTAACCCTACAACAAGAGATACACAGGCAGACCGCCAGGAGAAGGGCCCAACGACAGGCAGGCAGGCAGGCAGGCAGGCAGGAAAAGAATGATATGGAGATTACCAACCGAGTGCCCTGGAAAAAGGAAGGAGCAAGAGAGAGCAGGATCGGATGATATTGACTCGCTTACGTATAAAGCTACGGTGCTCCCCCGAAAAGAGCGCACCCTGACAAAGAACGTATACAAGCTAACTTTCCAGTCCGATACAGTCAAAATGAGGGTGCGTTGTGTTCAGGGGAAGACTGTAGATCGATCAACCTTTTAAAAGAACGATAGTCAGATACATAGATAGATAAAAGTGGATGGATGGATGGATGGATAAAACTGAGATACATGCATACATACATAGATTAGAGGGATAGATACCTACATATACACAGATATATAGATGTATCGATACATAGATACATACAAAGATATATAGATACATGCATAGATACCTAGATACATACATAGATAGATGCATACATATACACATAGGTACATAGATACACACATAGATACATACATACCATACATGCGTTCATACGCATAGATATATAGATACACAGATGAAGCAGAGGAGAGGAAACGGAGGGAAAGAAGAGAGGGGGGATGTTGGAACGATAAAAACAACACACACACACACACACACACACACACACA